CAGTAGTTCAAGTAAAACTATATGTTAAAAGTAGTAGGAAATAAAATATTTTTCTGAAATATCATTTTCATCAAAATATATACTGCTTATGCAAGAAAAGTAGTGGTAGCCCGGTAGTTGAAATTCAACAATCCTTTAATGTTTAAGGTTACTGAGATTCTTTAGTCAAAGAGCACAAGTTATAATTTTGTTCTATTATGTCATTTGTTTTTTGAGTGTGTACAAATACCTCATTAGAAGGTTTGCATTGATTCCCTGCAATACATATGAAATTTGAAAACCTATGAAAACAGGGTGATCACTTCTCCCCCCTTATGGCTGAGAAATACAATGGAAACTGGACTCATGACCTCAATCGCCAAAAGAACGAAGGCCTTCAGAAGTCAAATATACTGTCTCCAGTACCCTTTGTTTATGGATATTGTTAAGTGAAACTAGTGGTGCTACAGAATGGAACAGACTTTCTTGTATCATCGTTTTTCAATGTCAGTAACATTTTATTTAGTTCAGTGTTAAACTATATTTTTGCTGTTAAATTATTTTTATCCTAAAGATGGAGAAAAATATTATACCTAGAAACATCGTAATCAAACTACATAACAAAGAATTAAAACTTCAAATTGTATTATTCCAAGAAATGTTTATATTTCTAAATATTTATTTGAAATGGTCTGTCAAGAAAACGTCTTTGGCCAAATAATCTTCAGACCATCAAAATTTCAGCTTTCTGCACTGCATCTCCACAAAAATTTCAACTATGTCAAATATCACGCTCTTCCGTGCACTCTTAAAAACAAATATAAACTTTTCTCTTCATGTATTAATATATAGATGATACTATGAAATAGCAACAAGTTTATTGCGCCCCATTCCCACTTTGCCCTCACTGGGAACTTGTATTATTGTAGGTGTGTGATACAAAATGTGTTCGTCAAACCATTCTGAAGGTCGCTTGCTCTTTTGTCTAAAAGGCACTGCCTACCCAGTACTCACTCTATACCTTCCCTCCCCCCATAAGGAACGGTCTCCTCACGATAACTCCCATCTCAGTTCAGAGTTCCACTCAGAGCTAGCATGAGCGTTCGCACCCGTTTGAAGCAAATTGGGAAGGACTGTTTTAGAGGCTAAAAGTCTTCTGTTTACTAATGAGTAACACATTTTTGCAACATCAGCAGACAAAATAAATATTTGGATTCATGCACTATTGTAGTACATGTTGATTACACTTAATAATTTCTTTGAGAGTGTTTACATGATTATTACAAAAATTAAAATTTCTAATATTTGCAAAATCTGCATTGCTCAATGATTCTATCAGTAACTGGTGTTGTTGAAGTAGTACCAATGAGAGTATCAAACTTTTCATAAATTACAATTTTCTATTCCACTTCCCCAACAAGTTCTACAAGAACCATAAACTCTTAACATCCATGAAAACATTTAAAATTGAAGAAAGTAAATTAATTCAAATATAGGCAATTGAATTTGCAGACAGTTGTCAAGTTTGTACTATGTGAAACTTTCATTTGTAGTAATTCAGTCCAGTTAGTAAATACTAATGCGTTGCCTAACCATATTCATTATTGTGACACAATAGTTAAAATCTGACACTACTTTTGTCACTTAGTACTAAATTTCCTATTGAATTTGTTAGTATTTGAACAATGTATCTGTTTGTATTCAAACTCCAAATACTGTTACTAACCATCAATGCACGATCAAAAATTAAATAAATACAGCAAATAGACTTATAAGCAAAAACTCCTCTGCAGTTAAAAAATTTAAAATTGTATCCTTTACTAGAAACTCCAACTAAAAACACTACAGGCTTAAAAGTTAAAAAATATTTTTTTAAATCCAAATAACCATATTCTCTCAAAGTAAAAATCCAAATAAGAGATAAATCAAGATGATAGAATATTAAATAGAACATACCTCCATTGTCCCTGACCACAAACAAAGCAAAGTTATCAGCCTTGCTGTCCACTTTGTATTTCTCCAAAAGTAAATTGATTACTTCTTGGGTGTTGACAAGGGAAGTCACCCAGACACTCATCTGGCTACCATGTGGTGGAGTAAAAAAACTAGTTTCACGGTTGTAGAAGTGTCCGTTAATGGAACAACGTCGCTTCAACTTTGTGCGAGAGCGCCTTTTACCAGGTCTCCGTCGAATAGCAGTTGACCCCGTTTTAGCAGCTTTACGTAAAACAACAACTTCTTCCCCATGATCCAGATCTTCCCGCAGGGATTCAGACAGGTAGGATGACTTCAGAGTGTCATCATTTGTACAATGGTCCCAATGTCTTTCCAAGCATTCCGGTCCACTCATAGACCGATTCAGGTTTTTATCCAAGTTAGGATATTTGCTCATGTTAGAAAGCTCTTGATCCAATGTATCTCCTTCCTCATCATGAGCATTTGACCTTGAAGTTCTATTTGCTGTTCCCACACCAGAGTCACTGAAAACGCTCCTCACACTGATGTCTTCACTAGTTGGGCTTTCAGTGGTGTCCACGCTCGACTGAGCTGAAAGGCTAGGAGCACTATGATCAGATCCCTCCCCACTTGTCTGGGACACACTTGGCAAGCTGCCTGGCATTGTCTGGTACAGCTTCTCACTGTCATCCACTTTCCTTTCCACCTAAGGGGAACAAAATGCAAAAGTACTTCACATGCGATTATTCATTTATTAATGCTGCAATCATTATTCTTCTAAATTCAGTTAAACCTTAAATGGATTAGTCATGTAAACAAATTGAACACAAAATTAAGTTCATTATGTTATGCATTCAAAATTCTTTCAATTTCAGTCAGCCTTCATGCAGCTCATGAGTATTTTGTGAATGTACATTTCTGCTTCAGATATGGCACAATATTCTTGGGAAGCACAACTTATACAGTGTGGTTTTTACAACTCTGCCCCACAAGGCCCCACTTTACAGTGGCATTATGTCACTGTATTTTGTGTCTTTCTCTGTCATGCCAGTAGATATTGCATGATTGCGACCATATCCAGCACTGCTATATGGTTGCGTTCATGCAACATCTAGCAGCACGATCGAGAAAGTCGCAAAAAACAGTGACATAATGCCACGGTGAAGTAGGGCCTCGAGGGGCAGAGTTATGAAATCCACACTATACTAATATGTAAATGTAAATATTATGATGCAGATTTCAGAACTCTCATGTTCGAGACTGAAAGGGAGAATAAATATCGAACATTGAGCACTAAGGTTAATGATTAGAAACAGTCATCGTATAGGGAAAATTGTATTTTAGAATACAAATTTTTCTTATATTTCTACAAAAAAAGTGGTCAAGGGAACATGGAAACCAAGTTTTAATACCAGTTTAGATTTAAGATCAAGGTAAATAACTGTAAATAAACAGAAAAATCCTATGATAAAAGTAATTATGAAAGTTTGAAAACAAATGAAGATGATTCCTTGAGGACTCCAAGGGATTTGACAGAACTGAAATTCCAACATGATTCCATTATCACAAATTTTTGGATCATCAGAATGCTATCAAGAAACTCGTAAAAAGTAACAATGAATTTTTTTTTTAAAACAGGACTTATCAAGTTGAACTAAATTTATTTCGAACAAAGGCATCCCAAAAACATTTAATGAGTTCTAGAGAAACTGAAGTGAAAAAATTAAAGCGGGAATCTAAAGCAATTAAAATTTGTGTAAAAATGTAATACTAAAGAGTATAGCATTGAATGTTGCATTTTGGGTGAAAATTTTTAACAATAAAAAACAAACAAATGAACTCCTTTCTGTATTAAAGGTTGATTACATGACACAAATTTGAAAAAAATATTTGAATATTTCAATAAATATAGTAAATGTTTAACTGAAAGGGTCTTATTTGGTAACCAATTTAATCCTATAAACCAATATTTTCTGATAGAATAAATTTTCAGAACAATTCATGTTTCTACTAGATAGATAATCAACCCACGTAAGTATTGTTAAAATAATGTAAGAAAATTGATTAGTCAGGCATGGAGAAGAATAAGTGATTTATTTACTATAGAGGAAATAAGTGAAACATTTCAAAAGCGTTTAAATAATGCCAAACGCAGTATGAAAGTGAAACATTCCAGAATAACAAACAAATGCTAACCATGTAATTCCTACAAGTCCCTCTTCATTGACTTTGGAATCTTACCACTGCCTTGCCTATTTATTAGCGAATCTATAATTTCTTTAAAGACTGGGATCGTATTTTTTGTGCAATACAGATATTTAATAATGCAAACACACATCATAGGAATCATGAAAATTATGTGTCAGTAGCTTACTACAAGAAATCTACATATAACACATGTATGTCACTTAACAATATGTGCCAGATGAGATTAAACAATTAAAATCAATACACGATACTGACCATGAAAAGAGAAAAATATTTTTTATTTTAACAATGATCTATAATGCATTAGTCAACAATTGTTCTGTAGAATTTTAATAACACTTATATGCCTGTAACAAAGAACTCATGCTTCTGTATCAATAACATGCATCTCAATGAAGTTTGTTTTCCATTTTCTCTGGAAATTGCGCAAACACTGAGAGGTTTTTCTCTGGACAACATAAGTTCGTATGCCCATTTTGTTGAGCTCTCTTTTATTAAGTTGTGGTAGGAGAAAAGAGTGCAAATTGATATTTTGTTACCAATACTATAAAATCAAATTTGTAATTTATTTACAGGTGCAAAAAACTTTTCTCTACTCCACGATTGCCAATTTCAAGTTTTCAAAAAATTGCTGGCCTCACTTTCTTGGTACTTTTATTCACCATTCAACTATGTACAGTAAAGGGTGGGGAAGGGATTCTGAAAATAAGTGCAGATGATACTTCTCTCCTAAATGTTACTTATACTTTTTACTGTTCTTGAATAAAAAATGAATCATATCAACAGCATCACAGTGACATGATAGTGTGATTTAAATAAAAAGCAGATAGGAATGCAGTGCCCAAAATTAGAAACACATCATCCAATGTTTGAAAACAATAGAAAAGTTGAACCAAAACGTAATAGAAATATTATGTTCTCCAAATTTACTAGCTTTTTTTTGGTTGGAATCCTCTTAAAATTTGAGTAAAAATGTTCACTTGCCATGATGATCTGAATGATGTTTCAAAATTGAAATGAATTTGAAGACTGACAAGAATTTCTGATCTACATTTTATTTAAAATACTACTACTGAAACCCAATACTCATTCAATCGTATAATAATTTGATTTACATATATACCTCAGAACAAAAGGGAAGGTTTGCATGCACAGGGGAAAACTCACTTGTAACAAATCATCTAACTCATCCCAATCAATCTGCTTCACATCCAGCTTTGGAGGTAAAGTTGATGACCTCTGTTTCAATTCTGTTTCATTACTCAATACACTTGTTGTTTCAGAAGAAGAAAGTTCATCAGGTTCAGCTTCCCTGTCATCCTTTGCTTCCAAGTCATTACCTGCTTCATTTTCAGAAAGATTTTGTTCATCAACAACCTAAGAAAGCAAACAATACATGTTGAAGGTTTTTGTACAATAAAAAAACAACACAAAGATTAGATATCAAGTAAATTAATACCAAATGAACTTGAACAATTACAACTTGAAAGCAGTAAAAGAATAGTAAAAGATAAAATTATAATTTTTTTAGAATCCATGAAGTAAAGTAAATTTCTTCTATTCAATAATAAGATAAGATAAGTCTCTTTTTATACTTTTATATATCTCATGTATTTCATAGCTCTTAACCTTGCATTTTCCTAACCTAGTAACATAAGCAGAACTAGCTGGACAGATTAATTTTCATTTGCAAACAAAAGTACCATCCACCAACGAAAACATCCTTCCAAAATTCTATACATCTTTCTAGTGGTGTTAAGTTTCCACTGCCAGTCCTGTAAATGTTCTCAACTGTCCAGAGATGCTGCGTCAAAGGCTATAAGGTTGAAGGCAAAACAGCCTTTGAAATGATATTACCCAACCGACTGAGAGCATTCATATGAGAATTGAATTGAATTGAATTGAATTTGCCTTATTTTACGTGGCGAGACTCTGGCCATCAGGCCCGCTCTTCCGTCTGACCACGCAAATTTCGCTACGCTCCTTTCACCAACTAGGAGAGAAAGGAGGTATTTCTTGGGCGAGAAACAGGCGATTTGAATTTAGCTCAGAAGCGTCATTTAGGCTTGAGGATCTTTTACATGCAAGTAAATCTACAAACATGGGACAGCCGGCTTTACTTCCCCTCCAAAGGAAGGCGTACGAAGGATTTTGTCGCCCTTAAAAATCCACGGCTTTGATCGGGTTTGAACCCGCCAACTTGGGTACAACAGTCCAGTACGCTAACCGTTACACCATTGCCGCCGAATGTACCTCTGCAATACGTAGATATCTGATAAAGATGTGTATGCCTGTAGTAAGTATATGTATGTATTTTTTGTGCAATGTGCAATATTTCAGAATTAAAGAATTTAAAAAACACAAAAACATAAAAAAATACAAAGCACAAAGAAACACCCACAACCAACAAAAAAATAAAGTTAGTCAAAGAGCCTACTTTTATTATTCCCATACTCATCATAAAGGGGGTTGAAATAAAGGGGAAAGAGAAAAAACTAGTGGTGCTACAGAATGACACAGTACTCAACAGATCCCTATACTCTAGCGTGTGGGCTAGTTGTTCAATTTTTCTCCACCCTCTCCCCTGCTGTTCCTATTATATTTTCAAATCATTTCTTTTTTAAAAGCACTATTTTTAATATTATAGTTGCAGAAAGACACTGAAGAACATTCAAACTCTTATAATTTTCAAAAATTCAGAGGTAAGAGTGAAAATAGGACTTATGCCTCCTTTATAAATGGATTTCACTCTTTTCTTACAAGAAATTTAAAGAAAAAATAGGAAGCCATTTTGGAGAAAAGTTTAATATGTTCCACGGACTTCATGTAAAATATCTCTAAAATTAAAAGAATAAAATTTAAACTCGCAGGGCCTCAAACCAGTGCAGAAAGGGAAATTTTGGCAATAAGCCTAAGAATAGTTTAGGTGCTAGCGTAGTTCACTGAGCTCAAACAGCTGCTAGCATATTCCCGCACAATTGACAAACAGTCGCATAGTTGATTGTGAAAGCTTTGTGTTGTATCCATTTTGTTTTGTGCAGGCACATCAGATATTTGCTAATGTCACTAGATTGAAGGAAGTTGTCCTTTCTGACCCAGTTTCTTTTTCTAGCACAATAGTTTGATAACACAAAATATTTCTGTGCGTAGTAAACTCTGGACGAGTTATTAAGCTCAGTCAGGTAGTCACTAAGACCCCTGGATGAGATTGTACACAGAACGGCGATGTCCTGGAAGCCTCTAGGCAAGTTCACTTGTGCAGACAAGTTTTTGGGTATCAGTAGGACTGACTGATAACTGATAGTCTGGTGCTGTATCCATGTGTGAGCAAGCTCAGCTCACCAAGGAGCCAATTTTTATAAACAATGTCAAACAATATGTTAAAAGTTTATCAAATAAATTCAAATGGTTTATTCAGATTTTCAGGGTGAAATGAATTAATCCATCCTTACTCAAGAATATCCATTCTTGTGCCTATCAATTATGTTAATTAGTTACACAATGGTAAATAGAGGTTTGAAGTAACAAAAGTATAACTTAAAAAGAATAACTTTTAGTATGTATAACATGAAGATCAAAAGCTCATGAAGTGAGAGCAAATTAGAACAGAAAAAAAGACCTTCATGTAACAAAGAAAAAACTTAAATTCATGTTTATTATACACAACTTAAAAGAAATACAATGATAAAATATTTAATATGTACCTCTATGCCATTAAGGACTTCACTCCGACATGAATTACGTTTTCTTATTGTAACCACCGTTCGCTGATCATCATCTTCTTTTAAATGTATCATTCCTATAACTCCCCAATGTATTCGCAATGCACCTTCCAATACAAGACGTCCATTTACCTAAAATAATTACAAGATGTACAAGACAGAGAAAGCCTCATTAGAATATTAGTATGAACTATATATGTGAATGTAAACATCTGGATTTGTTTACCTCTCTGCTTCTTATTTCACCACTTCTCCCATCATAGAAGCAATTGAACACCTTCAATTTTGATTCTAAATGCGACCTGAAAACAAACCCATACATACATTAGATTAAATTCATTTGCCTCTTGCATCTTGGACAAGGAAATGTTATTCAGCTTTTCAAAATGTTTAATATTTTATATACAATATTTATGAAAGTTTAATACATGATTAAGATAATGGTAATTGAATAGTGATTAAAACTGATAACTGAAAACTAAATATCATTTTGCAACACATAGGTGTGTTTTCTTACTAATAACTGTTGAGGATTTTTAGTAAATTCATACTAAACTTTTATGCACACATGTCAAAATACAGAGTTCAAAAAAATTGTATATACACACATATATACATATATATACCCATATATATACACATATATATACACATATATATTACACATATATATACACATATATATACCATATTCATATATATACACCATATATACACACCATATATACAACATATATACATACCACCATAATACATACACATATATATACACATATATACTATATATACACATTATATATATATACATATATATACCATATATACATATATATACACATATAACACATATATATACATATATACATATATATACATATATATACATATATATACATATATTACATATATATACATATATATACATATATATACATATATATACACATATATACACATATATAATACATATATATACATATATTACATATATAACATATATATACATATAATACATTATATATACATATATATACATATATATACATATATATACATATATATACATATATATAAATATATATATATCCATATATAATTCATATATATATAATACATATATAATATACATATATATATACATATATTACATAAATACATATATATACATATATATACATATATATACATACATATATACATACATATATATACATACGTATATATAGAATATATATACATATACATACATATATATATACATGTACATACATATATATACATATACATACATATATATACATATACATACATATATATACACACATATATACATATACATATATATGTGTGTGTGTGTGTGTGTGTGTGAATATTAATGTCATAGATATGAATAAATAAATAAATAAAACGCATTACCAGTTCATTTCAAAATGACAAACAATCGAGTAATCTTGAAAAAGAAACTTTACACACTAGTGCAAGACATTAACACAAAATTCTACAGTGAAAAATCTATAAAATAAAAATTGTTAAAAGAAATTTTAAAAAAATACTAGTGCAACAACAACAATTTGGCAGCAGAGCCCCATGGTTCTTCCATCAACAGATGGTGTTCGCTAAGTCAATTACACAATAAAAAGCAGTCACAAGGCTACCAAAATTGCACAAAAAGCTGTAATGAACATTAACACTGTTCATAAAACTTCAACAATATAATGTAGTATAAGTAATCAAACTGATTGAAAAATCTATATCAATCTAAATTCACCAAGTCTAGTAGATTTTCATTTTACAGTAATTTTCCAAAATGAAGTCTAAATCACCCTAAATGGAGAAAGCAATAAATTGGAAAAAAATAAAGCACAAATAAGATAGTTGCACAAGTAAATTTTCTGCAACTTATCTTAGAAAATCATTTTTCACTATACTTATAATTTTGAATATATGTTTATAATATGATCTTTGCTGAAATAAACAAGAAGATTTAAATACATAGAAATTGAAATTTACTGGAATCAATTTATAGAAAGAAGGTTAATGGAATTTGCTGTTGGTTAAAAGACTTGCTGTAAAGCAATTTTTCAATAACAAGAACCCACAAATATTGAATCCGACTGCATATTAGAGGAAGTTATTTACATGACAAAGAACAAGAATGATCCACATCTTTGGAATCAGGGATACAACAAAAAGGTCTGTTGGTTTGTTGTTTGTCAAAAAATCACCTTTGGTGTGTGCATGCAGGCATCTGTGAGTGCGAGTGAGGGTGGAGGGGTTGAGGGTAGGGACAAAGTAAACGCATAAATACATACACCGAGGTAGGGATCCCAGAATTTAAAAAAAAATGTGAAAAAGAATACACTATTCACCGTAGCATGTCACACACAGTTTCAGTTTTTGATGTAAAATAAAACAAAAACAAATATTTTGCGAAATTTAATTAACACTGGTACCACTACTGTATTATAATGAGTGATAATTTAAAATGCAACAAACAGCAATAAGAACGAATTTCACTAGCAAGTATGTTTGAGCAGGTCGGATAGTGGTTGGTGGTTTAAGCAAGTAATCTGTCAGGAAGAATGCTTAATCACTTCTCCCTTAATACTACCCAGAGGAGGAGAACAGGTGACCGTCGTGACCGCAGATACTAAGTGATCAGTTCAAAAAGCAACCCTCAGCAGGAAGAGCAAATTGCTCTGGCAACAATGTTTGAGTGGGTTGGATTGTGTCTGGCAGTTTAAAGCAGGTAAACTGTCGGGAAGTACGCTTAATCCCTTCTCCCCATATGCCCCAGCAGCTGACCGTTGTGGCCATGAGTTCAGTGGATTGGCATTGAAAGAAACAAGTATTGACAAGAACAGTGATTATGATTTCCTCATAAATTGTTTAAAAGTGAAATAAGCTTGCCATGTAAAATATACATTCAAGTAGATTTAATAACAAACTTTGCTTGTTTTAGTTTCACAACAAATATGGCCCAGAAAAATCCACATTTTTTCTAGCTGTTTTGAACATGTATTAATGAATTATTACTTCCATATCCACAGAAAAAAATGTTTGTTGTTATTATTATTATTATCATTATTATTATTATTATTATTATTAACATTATTATTATTATTATTAACAATATTATTATTATTATTATTATTATTATTATTGAAATGTTACTTTAAAAATAAAAGTAGTTTTGGAAGAGCGAGCTCATTGGTATGTGTACAATAATCACTAGTGAAATTCTCCGTGAGTCACTCGTTAATAACGTCGCTGGCTGAATTCGTTTACTCGGCGTGAACTCAATGAGATTAAATTCGAGACATCGCGGGTTCCTGCTTGGGTGACAGTTTAGGAATCCCGGGATCTAACGACGTCAAGCCCCTAGCCGAAGTGATGCAGGGCAATGAATGGCTGACTGAGACGTGACAAGACTTGACAAAGATAATAACGGAGGATTATTCCATGGCAAACGCTCAACGCCCAATAATGGTTCAGAGACGCGTTGCGTCAACGAAGACGAAACAAATTTATTTTTTTAATTAAAAAAATAAAAAATGATACATCACAGCCTTGCTCTTTGTTCCATTTATCCACCTCCACCTTAACGATAAAGGTTTTGGAAATTCCCTTCAAACAAAAATAAGAAAGCTAGTTTAGTTATCGATAAAGAAGAAAAGGAAATTAGGTATTATAAAGATTCGGTGTCGGGAACAAGCTAACTTCACAAGAAATGTTCAAAATGCCTTCCATTTGCTAACAAAGAAGCATTAACTTGCTTGAGAACATTTGCTGCAACCCAATATAGTTTCTTCGTCAATTGTGCTAACCGCTTTCGATGTTTGGAGATCTATATTTGCATTTGTTTTCATAAACTTTAATTTTAAGGCATCCGCAAAGATAAAAATAGGTGATCATTCAAGCGAACGAGGAAGGGGGGCACAAACTTCGTAAAATTATTTAGTTCCTAAAAAACTCTTCCAAACATTGTATTGTCTTGGCAATATGTAATACCCCCACCATACTACAGAAACAAACAATCTCTCTCTTTTTAAAGAAAGAATGCAAAATATCTCAATATATTCTAACACATATCCGCCGTTCGTTTCTTTGACAAACAACGGAACAATACTCCAACCTTATTCGAAAGCGATTAGTTCTATGCTATTTCCTGTGGTCTTTCAGTATCCCAGAATCTTCAGTTTTGCTGGTTAACTTATCCATCCAGATGAAACCAAGCATCATCAATAGAAAACACTTCAACAACTGCCTCCACACCCTCGCTATCAAATCGTCATAGTTAAATACAGTAATTTATGCAAGCACTCCGACAATGAACAGTCCCTTCTTTCAAAGCGCGGCGTACACTTCCGTACGAAAGATTACATCGCTATTAAAGCTTCCTTAATGATATTTTTGGGAAAGTTGAAAGAACACCCCGAACTTCCTCTAGTTTGCGCTGCAATAACAATGTATTTCGGCGACCTATTTTGGCAGTATGTCGGGAATTAAAACAATGCTACCCAACAAGATATATGTACATAGGTTACGTTGAATGCGACAAGTGAATCGCCGCACGGAAGATTTGATTTAATTTAATTTGCATCCTTATTAACGTATTTTTGAAAATACATATGCGAAAACCGAACTGTATTGCCTCGGAACTTCGAGAAAACCGAACTGCCAGTAAAGCTACAGAAGCACATTTAGGTTCGATTTCTCACACTTACATTCTTAAGCGGGCAAATACTAATTTTCAAAGGAATGTAACATCTTATTCTTTTTAAAACGTAACTAACTCCTTATTCACATAAACACACAAAATATTCGCCTTTAATGTTTATATAGATTGCTTACAAAACGATAAATAGAGCAATTGCAGAAGTAGGAGTGAACATAATGAGACTGACTGTGGAGTTTCAGGGCCATAATCTCTTAAAAATTAGGGGACAAAAATATGGAAAAGTTACGCAAATCTGGGGAAGAATAAAATTGAATAAAATAGAAGATTTTGCAACAGAATTTTCGGAACTAATCGAGAATGATCTTTTTTGGGAATAACGCTGAAGAGCAGCTTGCAGATGTTTTTCATGGGCATTTTTGTGCATATTAGTAAAAAATGAAGCTGTACTAAATTCTAACCATTCAGCATCATTCGTACCTGCAAGTATTTTTATGGCATTTATAATTTTGAAAGGGCAATATTGCCAGTTTATATCTCCAATGGAGGTAACACAAGGCCAATAGGGATTGGAAATTGTTCAACAGGAGTACAACATTATTGGATATGACTCATTGGTATGTCCAATTCTACAGACTGTACGAACATATGAACAAAGCTATGAAGGACAAATTTTCAACACATGAAAATACTTTTAAAACAGTTTATAGCGTTGGCGACGCTTCATTCAGGCAGTCCCTACATAGTATTTGAGTAACTGGAGTATGCGTGAGTGCGGATCTGCCACTCGCGGTTAGACCACTTCCCGTGCTCCCATCGAGACATACGAGGTGCCATTTGACGCAACTCGTGGCTTGGAATACATGATGTGGTAGCAAACGTATTAAATATGAAACAAATTCAATGAGTATGGAGAAAAGCAAGTTTTTCAAAATCACATGGCTGTCACACCAGATTGACCAGGGAATATTTATTACTGAAAAATCTCTACAAATGTTTAGGAACCAGCATTGTTCATGGATGGATGGAAGTTTTGGAAAAAACAAGACGCGGTTTTGGTAGCAGGGGACCAAAATGTGCATTTCCGCTGAAATTTCAAAATCTATTTTCTTCAGCAATCCATAATTTTCTCTATAACCCCTATATTACTCTGTATATACCCGCTTATATGAGAAAGTAAAAACTGTGGTTTTTGATTCCAAGTATTGAATACACTAGTTATTGAGACAAAACTTTCAGAGAAGAGGAACTAGCACCAAAATAATAAATAGCAACAAGAAATAATTTATAATGAAGGCTGTAATATTACTAATGCTTGGAAAGAAAAACAGTGAGATGTGTAAGTTTTAAAAGTTGAATGTATTGGACAAGGACAATTGAGAATCTTGTTATTTCAGAGTTCTCTTTGGCCCTGAGCACACCTGCCCTGCAAGCACTTCCCTTGAAACAATCAACAAGGAAGTACTTTCAGCCATTTTTTTAGTAGAATCCTCTTAAAATTGAAAGCAAAATTTATTTATGTAAATCTGTTCAGTATAACCAATTTCTAATGCAGAAGAAATTTGATGGAAAACTATCCAGCCTCTGACCATGTGAGATGTGTCTGTAGTTTTGTTAGATACCCAGGAACTCACAAAAAATACAAAAAAATCTATATTACTCACTCCAATGCAAGCAGAAATTGAAAGGAACATATGCAGCCTCCATGGTTTTGTAATACACCTAGAAACTCAGGAAAAATACAAAGGCAATGGAAGTTTCAATTTGGACTGAAGAAAGGAATTATTTTATTCTCTTATTCCACCTATTCTCATACCCTACCTACCAGTTGAATTATCATATTCAATGCATCACAGCTTTTGACACAGCTGGCATCATGCCAACAGCAGGTAGAGGATTCCAATGATTAAATATTTGCTATCCACATGTAATATGAAACAGAAACGTTTTTGATTATCCTGATACTAAAATAACCATTGGTCTGCGCATATACTACGATATTGCAGTATTTGTGGAGACTGTTTTTGTTAAAATATTTCATTTACTGCAGTGTTATGCGATAATCTTTATGTTGTTCTTAACCTGTGTTCATGCTACTTTTTGGGAAACTTTTGAGGGATTATTGTTCAGCATGCATTCTATTGCTGCAAGCACTAGTATGCACCACATTCTTGTTCCATTACATTTCTGGTAGTCTGTATATTATTAATTAATTAAAATATGTTCTTTAAATTGTAACATTGTAACAAAATCACAATTTTAACATTGTGATGTTTTGACTCTTGAATTGATGTGTATATTGTGAAGTGCCCAAGCCTGTGACAAATTTGCCACAATAATTTAAATGTTTTTATATCACAACTGTTTTAACTGAAGTATGCCATCTGGGTGAGCTATAAATGGAGCGTTAGTAACTAGGAATGCATCTGCTTCTACAAATTTTAGAAGAATGAAATACCTGGGCAAATTTGGTCCACCTGAACGATTCTCCACCTTCCCAAAAACTGGTATGAGATTCTACCCCTGGTTCCATGCCCAAATAGCTGAGGACCAAAACAGAGCACCATAGCATGGACATGACAGTATGGCACTCCCTTATGCTGAAATTAAAAGAAATACAATTGAGAACGATGTTGATAAACAATAGAACACTTTGTAATATTTATCATTTTACTTGGTGCATTCAAAAATATTTTAATCATACAGATTTAAAATGTCAAAGATTGATTAGCTTCTTATTATAAATAAAGTATTAGTAAAGTTATTATACTTCTGCATGTGACCAGGGGATTTAAACGTTTCCCACATTCTTCACAACGTAAACATTCTGGATGCCAGTCATATCCTAAAGACTGTTCCTTTCAGCTGTAAAATAGATAACATCGTGTTAATATAAAATATTAATGTTCAAACCATAACCAATGTTTCGCTCGATAGTAAAAAAACAATGCTCCAACACCTCGAAATAACAAAAATACAATTAAGACGTTTCGCAAATACTAATCTCAGAGCAAGGCATAAAAACAAACAATAAAGATAAGATGGGAAATGAACACTTCCCCTGCATTTTAACGTTACTTTACGGTGGATCATCCAAAAACATGAGTTTGCAAAGCAAATTTTGTTGTAATACATTAAAGCTTTTGCTCCATAAACGGACGTTAGTCTGCTAATTCTGAAAATACAATTTTTCTGTTCGAAGTGAATGGAAAAACGTTTCAGAAGAATGCGATCTCAGTTTTAAGGGTATAACAATAAAATTGCCCTGAACTCGAAAACATCACGTAAAACTGTCACACACGGCAAGAGGCAATTGAACATAAAGGAAAGCGCGTAATACTCACCGAAATAGACGGGCTTTCCACATTTATGACACTTCCACATTTGTCACCTAACCAACTATACACATTTCAGACATAGCAAAACAACACTGAATCCATTAATGAAAGACACAAACAAGTTCGAAAACCATCCAATGTAACCAAACAACCCTGCTCCAACCCATGTTTAATGTTTTGCCAATGATAATTCCTTTAGCCCATTGGGAGAGCCACCTTCGCGGTTGTAAGGCGGTGTGTTTTAAAGTAAGGTGTGGTTTCGAGAGACGAATGTCATAAATAAAGATGTATGCACACTTCACTTACGAAGATAAGAAATCTTAATAATTAACTTGTTGTTCTGCGTGAGAGAAGTCGAATACTTAGTTAATTATATAAGTATATTTTATGAAATATTAAATATGGAAGAGGACTGGGACGAGCCCAAACCAAGACGATCTTGGTGGAAAGGGTAGAGATTAAGAGCATAAAGACGTAAGATCTAAATTCATATTATAACGTTTTAAAGTCAGTGATTGTAAATTAATGAGATTGAATGGATATTTCCGTTCAGCAGCATATTCTGAGTTTAAGATCTGGGCTATCTCTTGGATGCAATTAACTGAAGGCAAAGACTTCCTCTGTTTTGTTCACATTTCTAGATTGAATTAGTAATTATAATAACTTATTTAAAATGTATACAATTTATAAACCAATTGTGTGTTGATTTTATTTTTTTTCCTTCCCTTAGTAACTTTGGGCTTTGCAGCTAACTAGCCCACAATACACACTGCATTTATCCATCAGATGTTAATAAAGTTTATTCAAACCAATGAGGAGAAATCATTTGCATTAGCAACTCAACAAAATAAACTTAGAACAACATGTACAAAAGTTTTAAACTAATAAATTCTACTTTGTAGGCTTTACATTCTCCAGTATGTACATTTGACAGTATAATTTTAATGTAGTGAGTCAAAATTAATAAAAAATTGTTGCTTAATTTTCAGTAAGATTAAAGTATTGAAACTTTAAATTTTGAAATAAAAAAAGTTGTTTTTCATGAAATTATATCAAATAACAAACTGCCAAACGAAGAGTACCAAAGTACCACTTGTAATCTGTTTTGTTTTCAGTGTTATTTACTGGGCACTTTCTCTAACCACTCATATTTCCTCTAAATATCTCTCAGACACTCATATTTTCCTTCTAATAAATACTTTATTAAAAAAGCTGTAATACTACATTTTCAGAGGTAATTTTTAATGAATAACTTACTAAAATAATGCACAAAAAACTCTTACTCACATGAATTTGGAGATTTCTTAGAAGAATTGAAATTTTTTGGGAAGGGAAAAACTTCAGCATATCATTTGATACCAATTGCAAGTAATTTTAACATTCTATACAAGTTTATGAGTATTTATGAGAACACCAACTATGGGCCACAAGAAAATCCATAGAGAACACAAATGGATCCAAAGGATATGAAAAATAAATTAATTTAAATTTATTTATAATTTACTATTGAAAATGCCAATATCATTCCATTTTTACTCTATTTCTACCATTTGTATTCTCTAATGTGATTTCTTTCAAGGAATCTGCGAACCTTAATTAAAAATTTGCACAACAATACCACGATGGAATATTGAAGAACATTGGTATCTGCAAATGGTTGGCGCAATAAGATAAAACAATTTTATTTATAGTTGAGCTTTGTTGTATGTTTAATAAATTATCCTTTTAGAAATGATTTGAAAACCTTATTTGATAATCCATATTTTTTGTCCGTGTTGCAGGTAAGGAATGTACATATTCAATGAACGAAATGTCACATATCTATGAATATTTCAGCATTCACAACAACACATTCCATATTATAGTCTTTAAAAAATTCAACAAATGTAAAGCAATACAGTAGAACATTGATTATCTTTTTTTTATATAAAAATTAGGTTCGCTTTTTTGGGTAAATGTTAAAATTAAACAAGGTTTCCAAAACTTAAGGATTTATTTTATATTTTTACATAATAAATATGTTGCTATTATTGACTAAAGAACAGTAAAGGATTCATTCTACTATTTATAACGTTAATTATATTAAATGAGTTTAGTGACAGACACTACTGGTGCAGAATTTGCAATATTCAATATTACTTAGCTGTTCCAAAATGTGAGAAAGAATGTGCTGTTTGAAGTACCAGTAGTTTTGATGTTATGTTAAATAAATTTTAAAAAAAATTAATTTTGGGCTTTAATACTAATTAACACCTGATAACAATTTTTGAGGTAAATTTAATAAAAGGAATTTTTGGGGATAAAATGAAAAAAATCATTAAATTAAATTATTAATGAAATAATAGATACAATCTAATTTTAGATGATTTCTTATGTTGGAGATTACCCACAAATGATATTGCAAATCTTAAGTATTTTGAGTACCTTTTCTCCCTGGTTTCCTCCTGTAGCACATGCTTGAATCCATGTAAATAGTTAATACATAACACTTGTGGACTACCTCCACCATTTATAATAATAAAATAATTGATATAGTACTGAAAACATGTCTATTAATTTTATTTGAATTATATATTAAAATTTTGTATTTGAAGTTTGAATTAGTAGTGGCCGGACCACCCAATAATGAGAGTTTTGGACAAATTTTTAAGTCTAGGAAGAACGGTTAGGCAAGAAATTTCTGTCAGTGTGCTGAGCAATGCCATCATGGATGCATGGGTAAGAGACTACTGCCACCAATTTATTTGAATTCCACCAATTTACCACTATAGACAGTTAGAAATATTTTTTCATGTATCAGATTCAACCATGTTCCATTGATTAAAAAAATATTTCTATTGTAACAACATTTAATTATAACATGTTATTTATTTTATACTTTTCTAAAATAAATTGTCAATATTTTAATGCTTTAGTATGAGACTAATAAAAGGAATTACTTCAGAAAAGAATGAACAAAAATATCATCATTATGTAACATTAAACTGACATACCCTCCTATCCTCACATATATATGAGGATAACACTGCCTCAAACAACCTCTTTCCCCACTTTAGCATTACATAATTTAAGGGTGACCTTTTGCCACTTTTCCAAAATTACATCAGCAGCCAAACTAAATGAGTTGTAGGTATCTGAGCTTTGGAGCTATCGCTTGTTCACAGCTAAGTGTTGAGAGTCTTTTTCTTTCAAGCAAACCTTGCCATTAGGGGCCGTGCTAGAAGTGTTGGAGAGGAAGGGAAAGTTTCAGTTCTAATCCCCATAAAATATGGCAAATTCATTTAAGAAAAAAGGAAACTTGAATGTGAATTTCTTCTTTAGATCCTCTTGGACATAATACATATTCTTTTTGTAATTTAAGTAAATTTTACCCCGGGACAAAGGAAACACCACTTACATCGGGGAACATTTAACGAAAGTTATACCCAGAACAATCATTTTAAAAAAAATACACTCCCCGAATTGTTTTAACCTTCCTTTCGAAGTATGTTACTATAGTTTAGGCTAAATGCTCTACAATGCAATGCATTGCTCAAAATTCTGAATTTTTAAGTTTTGAAACCAGTTCCAACAAAACGAACCTCAACATTTTACCGTGATGTATAACGAGGAGTAACCACGTGGGAAAACCTCATGGCAAGAAATTACTGACGTTTTGACTCACAGTTTGCCAACGCTGTGCGGCGGGGCGTTGTAGGAGCAGAGAAGGGTGGGGCAGTTCTCTCTCAGCTTTCTGCTGACGCGGCGGTGAGGACCACGGGGAGGCGTCTTCGCTAGCAGCTGACGCCGCTGCACGAGAGGACAGTTGGCTAATACTTCGGCCGAGGCTTTGTCGGTACATCACCCGTAGTTGCACAGCTTGAGCATTTGCTGGACATGCATCACTTACTTATCGCTTATCGAGAGAAAAATGTGAAATTCATTAGGAGCGCCCCTCATTGAGATGTGCAAAAATTAATCAAATTTCAACCATCTAGCTTTTAATGAGTATGTCCCAAATCAGATATTGTAATTTTCATATAAGACCTGAAAAAACAAAATAAAACAAACTGATTGCCTGTTTGGCATACGCAATCATCGAGTCTTACACTTATAATAATGCTGTAACGTATTAGTCATTCCAGATTGCCTAATGCCCAAAACACTTTCTCGAAGAATTTAAATGACAATTCGCTGCCGATACACGCGCAAAAAATTGAAATAGATCGAGGAAGATTTCACGAGATATCGCGAGATTACAGGAGACCTAGCGAGCTTTCACAAGATTTCACGAAATCTCGCGAGATTTCACGATATCTCGCGAGATTTCACGATATTTCACGATATCTCGCGAGATTTCACGAGATCTTGCGAGATTAAACAAGATTTTACGGGATCTCGCGATATTAAAGCGATCTCGCGAGATTTCACGAGATCTCGCAAAATTTCCCGAGATCTCGCGAGATTTCACGAGATCTCGCGAGATTTCAAGAGATTTCACGAGATTTCGAGATCTCGCGAGATTTCACTGGATTTCACGAGATTTCGCGAAATTTCAAGAGATCTCGCAAGATTTCACAAGATTTCCCAAAATCTCGCGAGATCGAAGAATTTAAATGACAATTCGCTGCCGATGCACGCGCAAAAATTCGAAATAGATCGAGGAAGATTTCACTAGATATCGCGAGATTACAGGAGACCTAGCAAGCTTTCACAAGATTTCACGAGATATCGCGACATTTCACAAGATTTCACGAGATTTTACGAGATTTCACGAGATCTCGTGAGATTTCACAAGACTACGAGATCTCGCGAGATTTCACGAGATCTCGCAAGATTTCACGTGATCTCGCAAGATTTCAGATCTCGCGAGATTCCACGAGATCTCGCAAGATTTTACGAGATCTCGCGAGATTTCACGAGATCTCGCGAGATTTTACGAGATCTCGCGAGTTTTCATGAAATTTAACGAGATTTTACGAGATCTCGCAAGATTTCAAAAGATCTAACGATATCTCAAAATCGCGCGAGATTTCTTCGCGTCCGGATAAAGTCCGAAATAACGGGAATACGTCCTGATAAAGACCGAAATAGCCGGAATACGCCCGGATAAAGTCCTAAATAGCCGAAAAACGTCCGGATAAAGTCCGAAATAGCCGGATAAATCCGGATAAAGTCCGAAACAGCCGGATTGCGTCCGGAT